GGGGTGGTTCTTCTAATGATTTCTTCTTCAATTAAGTCTAAAATTGTATTGTAATTGTTGTTGGATCCACTCTATCTAACAAACTTGAGCCTCTCTTCTATCATTTTAAATTTGCATTTCTTTCTCTTTTCTACAAATACTATCATAGTTGCTGCTCAAAAAAGCTATAATCTTTAGTATAATCAACTAAAACTCATTCTTGCCTGACGCGCCGTTCAGCAAAGTCTCATCCTTTTTTTGTATCTGTCTCTGCATGCTATAAAAACTTTTATTCATCTAGTTTTTTTCCTGTACTTCAACTCTTTGGAACTCTTTCCCACTCATGTTTTCCTGACTCAGACAACCTATAACTTTTCAAGTTTCTGTCAACCGTTTCCTTGCTCTTTAACTCTGTTCTCTATTTTTCTAGTAAGTCCTAACTTAATAGAGCTTGCAGCCTTGTTGGGAGTGAATCAGAATGAAAAAAGAAGCAAGAATAAATGCAACATTACAATTTACACAACAGAAAAAGTTCAGGAAACTGTTTTGGTGAACATAAGGGAATTAAAATCTAAAATCTAATTAGTCGATTCAAAAACTTAATCATTTAACAGATTAACACTGCTTCTATTTAAAAGGGACTTCAGTAAATGAAAAAAAGAATGAATTTCAATTGATACTAGTTAATCAAAACTAATCACAAATCATATGTATAACTGAACCCTGGTTTGATAAAATATTTAATATAAACTTTCCTAACTACACTCATTAAGATAAAAATTTTTTATTTACAGTTTATTACTGTATTTTTTTGTTTTGTTTTTAATAATGAATAGTTTTTGATATTAAATGTAGTATATATATATATATATATATATATATATATATATATATATATATATATATATATATATATATATATATATATATATATATATATATATATATATATATATATATATATATAAATTATATAAATTGAAAGTGTGAAATTAAAGCAGAAACTATCTATATCAGTTGCATTGCAGTAGACAATTAAACAGATAAAAAAAGATACAAAAGAAATTAATAGTAAAAAATAAAGTATTTCGCTTACAGAAGTAAATTCTTTCTACTCCAGGCCAGGTCAGGTTCAGGATCATCACAATCACCCAACTACTAGTAGCCTGTAACCCAGTTTTACCTGTTCCATGTCCTACTGCCATGGTATTAACCATCAAGAAAGATATCAACATAGTATTTACCATTAATATGGTACTAGCTGGGGGGACCCGTAAAATACGGGTCTTTACCGAACCGACCATTTTTATACTTATCTATAGCTATCCGGACGTAAACTAAGGGTCTTAGTAAATCTATTCCACACCGACCTTTTCTATACTTATTCCTTACCTCAATATTTTTTTAAAACCATTTAAAAATGTACATATAAAAACTATATTTACTTTTTGATATGACAAAAACATTTCTGTTAAAATGTTCTTTTAAAAACTTCAAACGATTTTAATATAATGCCGATTAAAAAAATATTAATAAGAAAAAAAGTAAAAAAGACTACGAACTTAGAAAAATGCTAAAACATTCAACACGTGATGCCGTTAAAGTACGTCTTAGTTAACATTCTTTCATATACACATCTAATTAGATTTTATTTAAATTCAGTTGTTGCAAACTTGGTTTTCAATTTTTAATTACACTTCTTATGCGTCATAAATAATCTTAAATTCTAAATAGAAAATACGTTTATGGGCTAATTGGTAGACGCGCAACACTTAGACAGATATAGACATCTCACCCTGGGAGTTCATATTATAGTGACCTTTTTTTTTCATCCCAACTTACAAAAGTAATTAAAAATAAATGTTATTATTGAAACAGTTTTAAACATTTCTTCCAATTTATCTTTGAACTTAATTTTATTCACTGCAAACATACTTTTGGTGTTTGTAAGCGTTATTTTACGTTTAGTATTTGTAGGAATTATTTGCACGCACGTATTTTAAACAATTATTTTTACTGTTTCATCTAAAAATCTTATTTAATTTAGTTTAATAATTTCTTAAATATAATATATATAATTTAAAATATTTTATTAACCCTATTTAAATAAGTATCAAAACTCTTTTCTTTAATTTAAAAAGAATTTAAAATTAACGTAGGCTATAACAATATTTTACCCTTTCATCAACATTTATTTAAAAAGTAAATTTGGATATAGAAAAACGGGTTAAAGACTTGTTATTTTAAATAATTTAATTTAGTTTAATAATTTCTTAAATATAAAATATATAATTTAAAATATTTTATTAACCCTATTTAAATAAGTATCAAAACTCTTTTCTTTAATTTAAAAAGAATTGAAAATTAACGTAGGCTATAACAATATTTTACCCTTTCATCAACATTTATTTAAAAAGTAAATTTGGATATAGAAAAACGGGTTAAAGACTTGTTATTTTAAATAAGTTAGCTTTATCTATTTAATGCTTTTTATAAAAGCGTTTCTTTAAAGACTCTTAACAAATCATTCAAGATGTTTTTACTGCCTAAGTTATTAAACCTGTTGTGTGTGCCAAAAATCGATACTTAATGCAAATGGAAACTTCGAGTGCTAATGGTGATTAAAGCATAAATGGTTCCTATTAATTTATAATAAAAGAAAATATAAAAGACAAAGCAAAAATGATTTTTATATCCATTTAAAACAATAAATCCCAAAATAAAAAAATATAGATATTTACTTCAAAACATATTTTTCTTGATATAAAATAAAAATATAACCTTTAGTACAATTTACAAAAATAATAATACAATTTAAATTGAATCATTGTTTCATAAATATTAAGCTTTAGGTAAGCCATAATCAAGTCAGCTATAAGAAACGGAACTAAAAATGGAACAAAGTTATTTAAACGCATAATCATACACATTAATTACAAATTAACATGTCATGCAATCAATACTTTTGAAAACTCAAAAATGCAAATAAGAAACTTACTTTTTTATTTTTACATAACCCTGACAGACCAACATGAATGTGAGCTAAATCTATTTGCATAAAACATCACAACAATTAATTAAATAGCAGAACCACCTTCAAAGGACAAAAAAATTAGTTTTTTAAGGAAAATTAGAGTTATTGGGAGGGGAGGTATTAATAAATAAAAAAGCTCAACTTGAATTTCAAAATTAGTTCATAGTTTTGTTGAGGGTTATTGAGTTATTCTGAGTTTATTATACATATTTTAAACTACTAACACCACACACTTATATTCTTGGTTCTGGAAGGTGCTACATAGAATTTGATTGTGTGAAAACCAAATCCCTTTGAGATTAACATTAACTTTATCAAATGTATGACTTTTATTTCTAGTTAATGAGCATTGTTGATAAAGGTGTCTTTATTTAAATGATTTACTTTGATAACATTTAACATTCATGGGAAAAATTAAAAAACAACACAAAAATAAATTTACAAAAATATATTCAAAAAAAAAAATTACAAAAAAAAAATGAAGTGGCTCAAAAGTTGTCAATAATTTCTTTACATTTTAAAATGTAAAAAAATTATTGACAACTTTTGAGCCATGTTGTCTTCTCCTCCCAGCATCCGCTCTATTTCCCGTGTTGTATGGGGTGCAATCCCTCCATCTAAAGGAGGGATGGTCGTCCCCATACAAACACCAGCGATGGAAGGCCCTCATAGATAGAGGGCCTGGATGCTGGGAGCGATACTTTCGGAAATCTTCCCATGACTTCGAGCCTCAAAAAAAATTATATATAAATACAACTATCTACCTAGGTAATACTTACAAAAAATCTACTGTAAAAAAACAATAAAAGCAAATAATGTAATAAATTAAGTACAAGTGAGCACAACAACTTATTTATTTTACTCACTAATACTTGACTTATTACATTAACTAATTAAACTGGAAAGCACATTTGTAGCTATATTAAAAAACAAAAGGTACAATAAAAGCAATCAATCAAAGTAATAAGTCAAGTAAAGGTGAATATAACAACTTACTTGTAACAGAAGAAGCAGCAGCTAGAGATAAATAAAAGAAAGTTAAAAATGCAATAAAACCAATTAATCCATAAATTAAGTCAAGTATAAGTGAATAGAACAACTTACTTATAGCAGAAGAAGCAGCAGCTAGAGATAAATAAAAGAAAATTAAAAATGCAATAAAAACAATCAATCAATGTAATAAGTTAAGTAAAAGTGACTTACTTATAACAGAAGAAGCAGCTAGAGATAAATAAAAGAAAATTAAAAATGCAATAAAATCAATTAATCAATAAATTAAGGTAAGTATAAGTGAATATAACAACTTACTTGTAACAGAAGAAGCAGCAGCTAGAGATAAATAAAAGAAAGTTAAAAATGCAATAAAACCAATTAATCCATAAATTAAGTCAAGTAAAGGTGAATATAACAACTTACTTGTAACAGAAGAAGCAGCAGCTAGAGATAAATAAAAGAAAGTTAAAAATGCAATAAAACCAATTAATCCATAAATTAAGGTAAGTATAAGTGAATAGAACAACTTACTTGTAGCAGAAGAAGCAGCAGCTAGAGATAAATAAAAGAAAGTTAAAAATGCAATAAAACCAATTAATCCATAAATTAAGTCAAGTATAAGTGAATAGAACAACTTACTTGTAGCAGAAGAAGCAGCAGCTAGAGATAAATAAAAGAAAATTAAAAATGCAATAAAAACAATCAATCAATGTAATAAGTTTAGTAAAAGTGACTTACTTATAACAGAAGAAGCAGCTAGAGATAAATAAAAGAAAATTAAAAATGCAATAAAATCAATTAATCAATAAATTAAGGTAAGTATAAGTGAATATAACAACTTACTTGTAACAGAAGAAGCAGCAGCTAGAGATAAATAAAAGAAAGTTATAAATGCAATAAAACCAATTAATCCATAAATTAAGTCAAGTAAAGGTGAATGTAACAACTTACTTGTAACAGAAGAAGCAGCAGCTAGAGATAAATAAAAGAAAGTTAAAAATGCAATAAAACCAATTAATCAATAAATTAAGGTAAGTATAAGTGAATAGAACAACTTACTTGTAGCAGAAGAAGCAACAGCTAGACATAAATAAAAGAAAATTAAAAATGCAATAAAAACAATCAATGTAATAAGTCAAGTCTAAGTGAGTACAACAACATACGTTACTGAGGAAGTTAGATTTGTCACTATATAAGTGATTACATTATATTATTTATTAAAACTTTTATGAGACATAAAACATAATATAGTTACTGACTAATGTAGTTTAAAATGATATCTAAAAAAATTGACCAAAAAGTACAAAGTCCAAAACTAATCTCAAATTGAAAAAAACGCATTTAATATTAGATGTACATAAATAATTAGGGTGTATAATAAACATAAAAGCAATTTTGCTCACCTATGGACTTTTGTAAATCTTCTAATTTTTCTAAATAGATGAACAAATTACTAAAGCCAACCTCATTATTTTTTATTTAATATACATAAAAGTAATATAATGAAATTTTGCTTACTAACTCTACTTTCTAAATTTTCTAAATAAACAAAATGTATGAAAAATTAGTTCATAAATTTATTTGCTGTAACATAAACTTCGAAAAAACTGCAGTAAAAAAGAAAAAATAGAAAATGCTAACTTTGATTATTGAAGAATTCTTTAAAATAAGGCAGAAGAGATTCTGTCTCTTCTGCCATTATCTCCTGCGCATCTAAGATATACACACAATACAATATATACATTTAGCATATCATATGATAAAGCACTACATCTAGTCTAGAAAATATAATAATCACAACATCTGGTCTAGAAAATAAATTCCAAGTTTCTAGTTGAAAAACACATAAACATTTTTTTCTTATTTCAAGATTTGAATTTTACATATAATAATGAAATTTCACTATTAAATAGCTGGGTGTATATAACTATATAACTATTACCAACAATCAAATTACTATTAGTATACAAATATTTGATAAAAAATATGCTACTGATTTCTCCATACTTGAAATAAATTTTTTATAACTATCACTTTAGAAGTAAACAATTTTTATAAATAAAAATTGTTTACTTCTAAAGAAATTATTGTTTACTTACTTCTAAAAAAGTCACCATCATCGTCTAAAAAGAGAATTACTTATTATTTGTATTTATTTCCAATAAATAAAATATGATAGCATTGCTTATTTTGTCTATCAGTTAACCCAACACTGTTTATAAGGGTGTAAATTGTTTGTCTATTTATATTTATATATGCGTACTAAATAAAGTATAGCGTTTGTGCTGTATACGCATATATTAGATATATATAGATATAGATATATAGATATAATATCTAATATAAGCGCATACAGCACTAACAAACATATGCAATATAAACATACCGTTTAAATTTTCTTGTGTGTTCATTTCTAAAATAAAAAGTAAATATTTATTCTCAATTCTTACACATATTCTTAAGTCTAATGTTAAATTAAAATCATAAAAACTCAATTTGAAGATTTTAGATATTCAAAACAGTAACTCACTCAGATTCTAAAACTATAAGAGAGTTATAATGAGCGCGTGGCTGTCTTTTAAGCTGTTTAAGCATCTAGTTGGCTTGCAAAATGTAATCTTTAATCTCTTATATTTCTTTAGATTTTAAAATAAGCTGTTCGAAAATCGGATTTGGAGTATTTATAATTAAGAGAATTATGTAATTTATGCAAACAAAAAGAAGGGGAAATTCAAGGGTTGCAAGACGTCCGGCTTTTATGAAGAAGAAAGCAGTAAAAGAACTGAACTGTATATGTTTGGGACTATATTCTACTCTGTAAAAGCCGGTCATTTGGCAAACCTAAGTAAAAATGATGTTACACATTACAAAGAGACAATATAGTGAAAGCAATATCCGCATTTCCATGTATATCAGGAAATTGGAATCCTGTGTGTTAATTATAAGCGAGTCATTGTGCGATAGTTCTTTTCAAGTTGTTTTTGCTGCTTTTTGAAACTTAAATTACAATTATAAAATAAAATGAAAAAAAGACATCAAATATAAATACTGGAAAGTTTTCATACTGTTTTAATAGACTAATAGAATAATTTATCGATGAAAACAAAGTTTCTTAGACCCGCAGTACTCCTACAACACCACACTAAAACAGTTTCTCTACCACACATAACATTTTCTACTATTCCTAACATAGTTGTTATTGGTGACTAAAATTAGAAGAGCATAAGATTTTTTTTTTTACTTAACAAAATAAGAGTTATAGATTTTTCTATAACTCTAACTAAAATGCTACAAAAGAACTGGGTTTCCACTAACAAAAACTCGGTTTCCAGTAAAACGTTTTTCGAAAATAAATAGAAAAAGCTTTGTTTTATTTTGTGGTGTTAAATCGAATGAAACAATAATTGTTTATGGATTAAGTAATAAAGGTCCGGTAACTTTATTTATCTAAGACAATTCGTAATTTATTTTTCTGCCATACACTAAAAAATATCGAAGTAAATGGTTGGTGTGAATTAAGTTTTTATGATGCCTAAGTATGCGCAATTTTTCCACATACTTTAGGTTTATTAGAATCGTATATTTATATCATATGCCAATATTTTGATGATTCGAAACAAAAACTTTGAATTGAAGATTTTTAAAGTATTTTAAAGAAATAACGCCATCTAACGTAGTGATGAGCAGATTCGAAAATTACGTGGACCTAACAAAAGTGTATTTAACATAGTTACCAATTACGTGACATTTCTCCCGGTGTTTTGGCAAACTTTTTTACAAAATTTAACCTTTCCTATTTAAAAAGGAGAAGTATTTGACAAAGGATCAGGTGACGAATCCTAATTATGTCAAAAATTAGCTCTATTTGTTTGAAAAGCAAATTTTCTACAATAAACTCTCAACAAATTTTTCTAAATGTTTTTAAATTAGCAAATTATTAAACTACTATAGCTATTATTTGTACCGAAAATTTGTAAAGTACTTAATGGGAATGGAACTATCTAGATCTGTAATTACCATGGTAATAAAAGTATTAACGGTTTCCATTCATATATAACAGAGATATATATAAAAAAAGCAAAATAAGCAATGTATCCATCAAACACTATAATTCCAAAGAGAAAAAATTTACAAATTTGTGTGAGAAACAAAAAACATTTTTCTTGAGATAAAATTAAAAAAATAATTTTTTTTTTTTAAAATTTTACAATATCTATTATATATAGCATAAAAAGTATCAGAAGTACTTTATAAAATCATTTTGAATTGTTTCCCTATAATATATCTTTTAGTAAATGGTATAAAGATTAACAAAACTTCCCTTTGGATGTTAAAAAACGATCAACATTAAGAGAAGGCATTCGAACTAAAATAAAACAAAATTATTGAAAACATAACACATTAATGTACTCTTTTATTTAAAAACTCAAAAGTGTGACCAAGGCGATATCAAATAAGAAACTTACTTTGAGATGTTTTTTTTGTGTGAATAGGTTTTGTGTAAAGGTTTCAAGATTTTTTGTTGCAAGTTTCGATTATAAACTCTTTTCATAAAAAAGCACACTAAAAATAATCAAAAAAAGATAAACCCTTACAGTTTAATATAAAAATTGAATGCTTGGCTTTTAGTGAATGATTATATATAGTCAGTTTCAGTATGAAACAGCCCTATAATCATTTTTAACGATAGATACCGACGTGAAGGTAAGCCAAGTCGTCTATCAACACAAAACATCACAACAGTAACATCACCAACATCAATAACAAATAGCACAAAATCTTACAGTAAAGACTCAATAACTTAAACCACCAAAGGACCAAGAAATTAGCTTATTAGAAAATATTTCAGTTATTGGTAGTATGATCCATAAACAATTGCTCAACTGGAATTTTAAAATTAGTTTGATTTATTTAAGTTGATTTATTGAGTTATCCAGACTTTATTGTAAATACTTTATTTACTAACAGCATAACATACTTGCAAGTACACATTTTGTGATTACAAACAGATTTTATTATGTGTTTCATGTCAGTACGCCGCTTGGCTAGCAAGGACAACACTCTTGCCATAAACAAAGCCAAGTCACATTATTCAAAGTACACCGCTTGGCTAGCAAGGACAACACTCTTGCCATAAACAAAGCCAAGTCACACCACTTTGAAACCATAAAAACAACATAATAACAACTCACAAACTATAAACAGATAACATAACAAAAAATACACTTCATATGTAACAGCCATTTACACATTAATTACACATAAATACTTACAAAATATAACATACTTATAAGTACACATTTTGTGATTACAAACAGATTTTATTATGTGTTTCATGTCTGTACATCGCTTGGCTAGCAAGGACAACACTCTTGCCATAAACAAAGCCAAGTCACATTATTCAAAGTACACCGCTTGGCTAGCAAGGACAACACTCTTGCCATAAACAAAGCCAAGTCACACCACTTTGAAACCATGAAAACAGCATAATAACAACTCACAAACTATAAACAGATAATATAAAAAATACACTTCACATATAACAGCCATTTACACATTAGTTACACATAAATACTTACAAAATATAACCTTAACACATATTTAAACACATAATAAATATCACACATTACTGCATCAAGCAACACACAAAAATACTTTAAATTACAGTTAAAATATTTATAAGAAATGAGGAGTTTAATTGTAAAAAATTAATTATTTATAGATTTAGTACATTGGTAAATACAACATTGTTTGTGTAGCATTTATTAAATGACATACCTTGTAATGAATGTTCATCAATTTTAAAAAATAAGGTATTAAACGATCTTGTTCTTGAACATGCAACATAGAGTTGACCATGTGAAAAGCAAGGGTTTTTGAGATAAATACCAACTTTGTCAAAAGTTTGACCTTGACTTTTATTTATGGTCATTGAGTATGCTAATCTTACAGGAAATTGACGACGCTTAAGAGTAAAAGGTAAATTTGAATCAGATTGTGTTAACTGAACCCGAGGGACAAATACCCTCTTGCCAACTGAAACACCTGTTAGAACTTGCCCATCAATGTAATTATTTTGTAGAGCACGCACTATCAATCGGGTACCATTGCAAAGTCCAGCTTTTAGATCTAAATTTCGAAGTAACATTATAACAGCACCAATTTTTAGCTTTAGGCAATGAACTGGCATTCCTTATGGAGTAAGACTGTTTAAAAACTCAACAGGAAAATTATTGATTTCGTTAAGATCATCTGTTTCAATAGTATCAGCACTTAAATAAACCTTAACGTCACCAGGTAAACGGTCCAAAACTTCTTCATTTATTGCTAAAGAATCAACATTATTGGGTGTCAAAATGGCACGTTTAGCATAATCATCTTCTTCTGCAACTCCAAAAATCTTGTCTACTAAAGATTCATTTTCTCCAAGCAAGCATTGCTCAGGAATCTCAATGCACCCGCGAAAGGAACCATCTGCTTTTAAAGGTAATGTTCCACTACCAAGTTTTAAAAGCCATTGAGAGAATTCCTCTTCTTCGGCCTGAACCCTCATATTTTCTGTTAATGAAAATCGCTGAACATATTGCCAATGTTGAGAACATTTTATACAGGCTTCAACAATATCAGCTGGTTGCCCTCTCTTTACAACCGGAAGTATTTGCCTAAAATCCCCACCCATAAGAATAACTTTACCACCGAAAGGAAACATGTTATTGCAAACGTCTTGAAGTAACTTATCAATGGCATTTAAAGCATGTTTAGGTATCATGGATGCCTCATCTAGTAAATAAAGGCTAACTTGCCTTAAGAATTTTCCGTGTATAGAATTTGGAGTTACATTGCATGTGCTATTTTCCAAAATCGGCACAGGAAGTTTGAACAAACCATGAAGTGTACATCCTTTTTTTAAAAGAGTTGCAGCTATTCCTGTCCATGCAGCTGTTGCAGTTATAATATGTCTTCTGCTGGTTTCAGCGATTAAATAATTGTATGTAAATGTTTTACCACAACCTGCAGGGCCATCCATAAAAAACAATCTAGACTGCTTGTTTTCATTGTTAGGTTGCTCACTAAGAGCAGAAAGGATAGCATCAGCAATTTGACGCTGATTATCATTTAACAATGGTCTAACCCTATTTGCTTCATCAATTAAAACCTGAACATCTTCCTCTTCATTTTGTGGGACATAATCTAAAAACTTATCTAAAGTAGGAAGATTAAAATCAGCTAAAGTCTTACCATTCTGATTAATTATAGATTCAATTTGACGCAAAGCTGCCTGCTCAGCAATTATTGGTGGCATGGAATGGTGAATGTAATCCTCCATCATAAAATCTTTAAAGGCATTCCAAAGATTTAAAGGATCATCAGGTTCACAGAAAGTCAAAATAATGGAAAACAATTGTCTAATTTGATTTGGCAACCGAGTTGCAGCAGCCTCAGTTAATGTATTTCTCCATTCAGCGTCGTCTTGTAACAGACCTAATTAAGAACATGCT